CAGTTTTACTTCCAAGAATGACTAACAGATTAGTTATTCAAACTGGGTCTCTGGCCAGACATTCCCATCCCACCCCCCCCCCCACAAAAGTCAGCATGTTGCTTGCAAGAATGATGGACAGCACTTGCCACCAATGATACCTGAACTTGGAAGCACAGATCTGAACCCTGAAAGAATAACACTCGGGACCTGACAGCCTCTTTGGTGAGATGGCAGTCATACCAGCAAATGCGGTTTTCAACATCGCATAAGAAAATGTGACAACACCAAGAACTGAGTGACTCAGTCATCACTTTCCACGTGACCAGTGCGTGAGACAGAGCCACAGACAGAGAAAAGCATGGAAGCAGGTGGGCCACCGGTAACGTAACGGGCTACAGCACAGTCGCTGATGTGGACACACAGAAGAGCCTTAGAGAACCACCACTCGGGTACAATCTACACACATACTACGGGACGGTATTTTAAAAGTCCACAGTTACCTGAAAAAGCGACTAAAATGCTCCATTTCAACTATATACCTGTGTAAGGTTGGATCTTCTTCACGTACTTCAAGAAAAACATTACGAGTTTTTTAAAATTTGAATATCCTTTTCTCTACTAAGAGTTTTCCATCTTCGTGCTAAGCTATTTTTACTGAGTTTTTTTTTTTTTCTTTTAAGAGTTTTTGTCATAGGGTATGTGTACTCGCTGAAGAGAGACAGAGCCAGGGAAAGTGAGAAATTGCCCTGCAGAGGGCATGGCCAACCCGCATTCCCTTTTTCTCCATTCTCCTCTCGGGATTTTGGGGGCACACACACATGCACCAGTGTGAATTTCAAGCCGTCGGACCCAGGGCTTGAACCACAGTTGGCCATGTGGGAGTCCAGCACTTTAACCACCACCACCCCAAAATTATGATAAATCTAATGTTAGAAGCATATATGACAATTCTGCTGTCTTCTCTAAACTAAGACAACAAGGGGGTTTGCAGAAATGTACAATGATGCCTTTCTTTTACTAAACATTTTTGTTTTGGAAATAGTAATCATACAAATATGTCTCTCGTAATAGTATTCACTAGTTACGTTACTTTTTATTAACTAAACCACAAAATGTGTGCTGTTTGAAAACTGTAAAGCCTGTCCTCTGCTTATTACTAACCTCGAATACAGGAAACACCAAGAGAAGGAACCCACATACATGACGCCCCTCTGGCTTCCTCAAGAACTGCTGCCAGAGTGCAGACGTGGGACTGGCTTGCCCCCCGGGGAGCCACTTACTCTGCTCTGGCCGGCACCTGGAATCCTACGCTGGCCCAGTGCTGACACTATTTTCACACCTTGCCGGGCAGCAAAATCTCAACGCCTGGTCATTTCCCGGGTTGACAATTCCCTCGAATTACACGGTCAGGTGACCACTCTTCACCTCTAAAGGGTTTTCCTTGTCCTCGAGGGGCCGATGGTGAATTTTAAGTGGCTTCTGCTCAGTCCTGCCCACCATTCCCAGGCATCTGTTGGGAGGGGGTGTTTCCTGTCATTTCTTTTCCTCTGCCGCCCTCTTAGTGGGCTGGATGCCTCCCCCAGAATGTGCAGGCCTCATCTCTGTCAGCGTTCCTCCCTCCCCAGCCCGCCAGGCTCTGAACTCCTAGGGGACGGCACATGATGCCAAATCCGTGCTCCGAGAGCCTCCAACAGGCCCCAGGCACCTGGGCAGGGCGGGCGCTCACTCCCCTGGCCACGTCGGCAAAGCTAACTGACTAACGGCTGAGGTCTAGTGGAATGCGAAGTGCACGCCGAAGTTCCAAGGCACATCCAAAGCACAGCTGCTGCTGCCCAGGCCGCCCGTGGGCAAGCTCCAGACATCTGCACATTTCGGCTGGCGCAGGGCATAAGGCAGAGGAGAACACGTAGGTTCGGGGTCCACATGGAGGAATTCAGAAGAAGCCGCGTGGTCTTGGTGAGGGCTTCATCTCTCTCGGCATCCATTTCCTCAGTGGGAGCACCGAGGCCAGGAGGCAGAGCACACAGCGGCATGCAGTTCCCACTTCGGCCCACTGTTACCACCTGCCAAGTATGAAAACCATGGGCCAGCAGGTCCCTCGGTGTCCGCAATCCTCGTGAACAAGAGCCCCTTGTGCCAGATCTAGGCAACTGACTGCCTCCACGGGGTCTCTGACAGTGCAGTGGGATGGTGGCACAACTGGGAAGTCAACAAGAACCAGACAAGGAACTAGCAGTTGGTGTAATGGCTATGTCGCTAGACTCCCATGAAGTCGACAGCGGTTCAAGTCCCGGATCCGGTGGCTTAAACTCACGCTGAGGGCGTGTGTATACGTGCCTAAGATCCCAAAAGGAGAATGGAGAAGAAGGGATTGCAGCAAGGCCATCCCTCCCCGGGGGGGGGGGGGGGGGGTGATTTCTCGCTTTCTGTCTCTCTGTCTCTCTGTCTGGCAAGCACACGCGCCCTATAGCAAAAAGCTCTCTAAAAAATAAAAAAAAAATAAAAAATAAAACAGGAACCAAACAGGACACTGGCAGGGCCAGGCTGAGGGCCTGCCTGTACTGCACAAAACCCAAACAGAAGGCTTTAACTGGGGCACTGACGTGACAGAAGTGGGTGATTAACCAAGTTGGGGGCGGGTGAGGCCAGGAGCAGGGCAAGGAGCTGAGGCAGCAGTGCCCAGTAACAGAGTCCTTGGGGGCTGCCATCCCGGTCCGTCTGTTGTCTCATCTCACTCGGTCCCCTCCCGGTCCCACGTCCTTGGACCTACAATGGTGTGGGACTTACATGCACTATGGCGGTCCCCACGAGGGGCTCTGCTGGGGTGGCCAGGGACGGCCTTACTCTGGGAATCACTGCAGAGCTCCGAAACTCACGGGTAGTGGTAGCGGATAGCCTGAACCTTGCCATGTGAGAACCAGGGGAATCAGCGAGACCCCCGTACAAGATGAACGGCCTCAGCGGACCGTGATGCACCGTGAACACACGCACTGGGAGGGCATTACGCCTCGCACCTGTCAGCACTGCCAATAAGCCACTTCATCAGCCAGCAAGTCTCAGGTGAGAGATGAGAAGCACCATCGATTTCATTGTGCACATGATTTTATTCACAAACAGAAGCAGATAATCTTGTACTTAAATGGCAGAAGCATGATCACTCATGACCAGAGAAGAAACATTTGAAATTTATGAAGTTTTACAATATGATTCAATCTTTTCTAAGGGGGAGGATGAAAAATCTGAAAACATTAACAAAGTATGGGAAATCATGAACTGATACTTGGGCCAAAATAAATCTCTGGCAGGCATATTTTTCTTTACAAGAGATAATATAGTCACAAAGAAGCCTGAACCAGCTGACGGACCTGAACCAGCTGACGGACCTCTCCAAGTGCATGAAGAGCTTCTACTTCCTGTCAGTTCCTAAGTTACCAAAGCAACGTGAGCCCACACAGTGCTCCTCAATAAGCCATTTTAGCTAGTTTGTTCCAACTCAACTTCAGCGTCCACATCTTTTTTTTTTTTGCTATAGGGTGCATACACTTGCCAGAGAGACAGAGACAGAAAGTGAGAAATCGACCCCAGGGGAGGGGGCCACGCCACTATCTCATTCTCTTCTTGGGATCTTGGGCACACATGCACACGTACCCAGTGTGAGTTTTAAGTCACCGAGTCCGGGACTCAAGCCCGGTCGACTGTGGAGTACAGCAATGCAGCCATTATGCCATCTACCTGCTGGCCCCAGAGTCCACTTCTTTAGGCTACACTTGCAAAAAGCCTTGCTTCGACCATTTCCAATCTACTAGCTCAGCTGAGACTTCTTGTGCTGTTGTGACAATGGCTCAAGAGAAGCCAAGCCCTGGCAGGACATGCAGGTGACACGGACAGCACACACCCATCTGCTCATTCCTAGCAGTAGGGCCCCTGCAGCAGGGCCCTGCTGGACTGCCCGCCCCTGTGATAGCGTGTTTGTGACAGGCCATCAGCACGACGGCAGCCAGATGAATCAGGGGTTTTCCCTCAGAAACCTCCTCGGCCAAAACTCCACTCTGCTCCACCCCGCACCACCCCGCCGCCAAGCCCTCCCCCGGCATCGACTATATTCCACACCCAGGTTCTTGGGGGACAGGTGTCCTCCTCACATGGTTCTTAGACGTCTACCTCTGCCCCACATGGAGCTCCCTGGGATGGGCCTCACACCTTCCTTCCCTCCCGTGACTCCTAAGTGCAGGGTGCAGCACCCAGTGGAAAGAGGGTGTCTAGGCTTATAGACCAAAATGCCCCATACCCACAAGAGGGTACATCCCTACCTCAGCAGTTTCCTGGCAACATCCGCCTTCCCAGGCCACATTCCTAACTCACTGCCAACCAGGACTTTGCCAAGCACAGACTCCCTAACGCCAACCTTGTCGCTGGAAGACTGGTGGCTCTCCCAAGATGATCTCAGCACCCACCCCTGCCTGACATGGAGCCCAGCAGGGCCCCACCCCTGGCTTTCAGAACTCCCTCCAACTCATGCATCCCTGGGCGACCAGGCAGGGCTGCAGCGCCCCATGTGCTTGGAGTGCTGGTCACGAAGGCTGGCAGGGCCAAGGGCCGCTCACAGTGCCAGGAGTCACAGATGAGGAGCCGCAGGCCTAGACCTGGCTCCCCTGAGTATGGCTGGCCACACACGAGCATGACGTGTCTGTCATTCACTGCCCACACGCAGTTCTGTGGCTGGGGACTGCTGCTGCCACAGCCAGGAGGTCAGAATCATGGGGACCAGAGAGCGCCCAGCCTTGCCACTGGAGCTCTCAGCAGGGCGTGACTGTCCCCAACATGAGCAGCACTCACACTTCTCAGCCCCAAGGACTCTTACTACTCCAGCCACAGGGACTGAAGCTTCGCACGTGACTAACTGGCATTCTGAGATTCAGGCCTATGGTGTCACGTCCAAGTGCAGGTCTGAGCGGCCTGAGGTGTGGGGGCACCTCTCGGGCCAGCTGGCCGGGGCAGGCCAGGCCGACGGCGCTCACCTGGATGCCATCCAGCAGCTTGCTCATGCACCAGTAGGTGTCGGCCTCGATGTCACGCAGCACCTCCGCGGGCATGGTGGACACGTCCACGGCAGCCACGTCCTCCTCTTCTGCAAGGCACCGAGCATGGAAAAGACGAGGAGCAATTAGCCACACAAAACAAACAAGGCGGAGAGGGGAGCAGGACGGGGAGATGTGGGTGCCGCGCGAGCGCTCCCCGGGCCCATCCGTCATGGCGCTAACAGGCGGCTCGCACAGTCCTCCAGCTCATCACTCAGCCGTTCTCAGCTTTAATACCCAATTAGCTGCAGATAATTAATATTCTGAGTCCTCTCCGATTAATTAACATAATTAATATATTGTAAATTACTGCTTTGCGAGCATTTTACATTCTACTAGAGAGAATCTAGAATATATTACTTAGTCCAAACAGAGATCTGTTTAAAGCTCTGCTTCTAGAGTATGTGCAGATTCATTTGGCAATTATTTCTCTCAAATCTCGTTCCTGAGGTTAGACTATCCAAACCCACACTGGGTGGACACCTCCGCACTGTCATCAAACACCCCAGAAAGCAGTCACAGTTGGGACTCAGTAACAGACAATGGTGCTCCCAATCATTTCCTTCTGAAAGTATAAAAAAGCTAATGAGAAAAACATAACTTAAGTGTTTCTAAAATGCAAAACAGATGCCTAATTAAAATAGCTTATCAGATACTTGAGCAAACTAATTTTAGATTCTTATAAAAATTGCTATCATTCAAGCATAACACTTAGAAATGTTTTAAAAATTATGTATCCTATTTTTAAACTTTAAACTTCTGTTTTATTTTCAAATATACATGGAATCTTTGCAAGGAAAACACTCTTTAAGAAAAGAAACATTTCAACCAAAAACACCTTTAACTCTGGGACTGGCAGGTGGTGTGGTGTTTAAAGGCGCTGGACTCCCACATGGCTGACTGTGGTTCAAATCCCAGACCTAGCAGCTTGCTTTCTCGCTTTCCCTCTCTCTCTCTGTCTCTGGTCAAATTAAAAAAATAGTAACTAAATGGAATTAAATAAACAATTCTTAAAAAAAAAAAAAAAAACTTAACCCTCACAAGCAGGTGAAGTGAGGAGCAATGTAACTGACAGGTGGAGGCCGCGCCAGCCTTCCACACGTTTCTTTACGTGCTTAAAAGTTCATTCACTTGTTTCCTCCATGAGCAACAGAGGAAGAGAGACACAGGAAGGAGAGACAGGAAGGAGTGGGGAGCGGAACAAGCATCCGGAACAAGCCCCCCAACGGGGTCTTCACACCTGGATCCTCCCTGGTCTCGGCCAGCCCGGTTCATGAGCTCCTTGAGAAGTTCGTACATTAAAGGGGAAAATGAAGGCTTTTAACTCAGAAAACACAAACGTTTGGACCTCAAAACCTTGCCAGGTGGTATTAAATTGGGAGGAGCCTGGAGAAAGCAGGTCAGACCTGGGAGGAGGACGCACATGGGTCCACAGCAGGACGACGTGCCCACCGGCCATGGCTCCTCGCCTGGCTCTCCTCTCAGCTTGAGCTCACCTGTGGCACCACGGCTGATGCTGGCACTCAGTAGCTCTGTCCATCCACAAGCCTGCAATGCTACAGGCTCTCCCTCCAGCCAGCAGGCACTGCTCCACCCTCCAGGACCCAGCCCAGCAAGGCGCCTGGCCTCAGAACTCGCCAGCCAGCAGTCTGGCAACCCTGCAGCCTTGCCTGTAGTCTGAGCCCACCCTCTGATGAACCCCACAGTGACTCTGCAGGGAAGATGTCCTCCGGAATTTCTCAGGGCAGACTGGAGCAGGAGGGGTTATCTCCACCAGCGAAGGCGTGCAGAGACCAGGTCTCCAAGCACTCGGCGTGGACAGCGCCCACGCCAACACCAGGCCCACCGCATGGCAAGGTCCTGCCTGCTGGAGCGGACTGCAGAGGTCAAGGCCACAGACACACGCGGAAGCTCCGGCATGAGGTCACCCCTCTCACTGGGATGCGGCTTCGGCAGAATCAATTCAGCATCCCTCCGACTGAGAGCGGACCTGATTGTCTTCTCCAATCTCAGGGAACGGAATCAGCAACAGTAATCAGAGGGCTGCTTTTGAGAAGTTTTCCACCTACTTATTCTCTTTCAAGGGTCTTCCAAGCAAGGAGGTTATTTCCTTAGCTGTCATAAAAGGTAAACAAGGAAATAAAACCCCTACCCCCCAGACCTCAAGAGTCTCTCCTCAGGCCCACAGACGTGGTGGGTCTATCACAGGCCAGACCCGGAGAACAAGGCCCGGTGGGCAGGCACAAACCCTGACTTCTGGGCGGCGGGTCTCAAGAAGGCTGTCTTTGCGCCCTGGTGTAATGGAGTCGTGGCATCTCAGGGACCCAAGGCCATCTGCCTGTGAATGCTGAGAGAATGGGGGTCGCCCTCGTCATTAAGAGGAGATAAACGGCCCCCAGCTGGGAACACCTGCCCACCGTGGACAAAGGCACAAGAGGAGCTCAGGACTCCGTGGCAGCCCCAGGCTGTGACAGGGGAGCCAGAGTCTAGGGGTGGCTGCAAGGAACAGCCCCTGAGAGGGAACACTGCGGGCTCCACGACCCCGCACGTGTGGTACACAGCTCCACAGGAGACAGGCTGCTGCAGGTCCCGGGGGCATGGCCTGGGCAGAGCCACGCAGTGGGCAGGCTTAGCTTCCCACCTGCTAGATGCTGCTCTACTCGCCATGCGCCTGAGGACCAGGGAGCGTCCACACAAGGGGGGACGACGCGTCCTCTGAGGCATCTAACGACCACGACAGATCTCAAAAGGTACAGACTTCACACCAGGCACGCTGCCACCACAGAGCACAGAGGGAGGGCAACAGCAGGCAGGAGACTGGGCCTGGGGCCACCAGGAGCACCCCAGGGCCCAGGGGCCTGTGTCGACGGGGCTGGAAGTCTACAGCCATGCAGCTGACAGCCAGTAGGTGTCCACTCCCTACACACAGCACGCAAAAGGCGGAAGGTGAAAGTACTGGTATGGGTGGAGGGCAAAGCTTCTCGACTAAGATCAGATGTGAAAGGAAAACACAGGCACCAGGAGTTCTAAGCAAGCTCAGGGTTCAGAGAAACATGACTCAGATAAAAAACCGCAAACGCGTGGGTGAGACCTGGGGAGGCAAGCAGAGCTCGGCCACCCACCAACAGACCGGGCTACGTGGGAGTGCCATGGCGGCCACGGGCCATGAGCGTGGGCTCTCAGAGAGCGCGCCCCTCAGGGCCCAGGGTGAGGCTCAGAAATGTCTTCCCTGAGCCACGGAGACGCCCCACGAGCTGCCTGCAGGCAGCCGCTGTGACAGGGGCAGGGGGTGTGCAGCTCACCCAGGCACCG